CTCCTCCCTCCTCCTCCTCCTCCTCCTCCTCCTCCTCCTCCTTCACCTCCTCCCTCCGTAGCCATTTTGGCTCAAGCCGGCCTCAAGCCCCCTGCTCGCCATTTCCGCATCGCGCATGGCCGGTACCGGAGGCAGTGTTGCTGGAGTTGCTTGAGGATATGGCTGCGGGATCTGCCCCTGGTGCGTGGCAGGATGCGGTGAGCAGCGCGGCCGCCAGGCGCAGACGGCGCGCGCGCGCGCAATGGAGTCGTCTGAGAACCTCGTCCGACGGCTGTGCAAGGAGCGCGACCAGCTTGCGGGCGAACTACAGGTGCTGGATTCGCAGGTGTCGGCTGCTTTCGGCCACCCGGAGTTGGGGCGGCGCTTGGTGGCGTGCGCCCCTGCATTGGCTTCCCTGCTGGAGGTCGGCAGCCCGGGTTCCTCGACAAGCTCAGGAGGAACGTCGCGCTCCACGCCGACACGGACGTCGACGTTGCCACGGCTTCCGAGTCGGAGCTCAAGAAGGCGCAGAAAGGGGCGCGGCTAGGTGCGCAGCCCCGCGCCGCGGGCGGCTTGGACGAGGTGCGGGCGGTTGCGCCCCATTTCTCACTCCTCTCGGCGTTGGAGAAGTTGGAGGAGAAGCACGAGAAGACGCACGACGGCATGGACGTGATGGCGGACTCCCACTGGCTCGCCCCTGGTCTCTGGCAGCAGCGCGTCCCCGAGTTGGAGGCGGTCGCCTTCGGCTGCGGGCTCAAGGCGGGCTGGCGCCTGTCGGAGCTCGGGCGCGAGGATCCTGTACCAGCTGTGCTTCCTGGAGCTGCCTTTCCTGCGGTGTTGGAGTCTGAGCCCCACGTCGACGTCCTCGTTAGCGCCTTCTCGTTCGACGCTGTGCCTGATCGCTGTTCGTCCAAGCCGTCCTGCATCGAGGCGGTCAGCGACGAGTTTCGGGGACGAGCCGTAGAGCAGATGGTGGCTGTGCCCTGTACTGACACCGACTGCTCGGTGTAGGATTGTTGTGTTGCATCTTCTGAGGGCCCGCAGTATGACCGCTGCACCATTTGCATGACCTGTGATGATTCCTGGTGCCCTCGCCCCGTTCGCACTAGATGCACCGACCCGTATGAGTGCGACATCTATGACTGTAGTTTGGCGCCAGGCACTCCAGTCATCCTCTGTGTAGTTTGTGACACGGCGAGGTGCTCAGAATGCAACGATATCGTGAATGGTCTCCGTGAAGGCCACGTTTCGGCAATCGGTCCACCCAGAGACGATGTGCAGTGCCAGCAGCAGTGATTCGCTCCCCCTGCAGGCGTGCTGTGGCCCCTCCCTCGCACGCCTGTTCGCATTTTTTTCACAGTGACTTGCTCGAAGTCTGCCTGGTAGCAGGGCCAGGTGCAGCCAGTCGGAGGAGGCGGGTGGTGAGAGCAGTGCAGCGGCAAAAAATCCTTCACCTCCTCCCTCCTCCTCCTCCTCCTCCTCCTCCTCCTCCTCCTCCTCCTCCTCCTCCTCCTCATCCTCCTTCTGCTCCTGCTCCTGCGTCTGGTCCTCCTCATCCTCCTCCTCCGCCTGCTCCTCCTCCTCCTCCTCCTCCTCCTCCTCCTCCTCCTCCTTCTCTTCATATACCTCATCCTCCTTCTCATCGTCCTCCTCAGCGGCAGCAGCAGCAGCATAATCATCAACCTCATCAACATCAGCGTCATCACAAGCACCATCATCATCATCGTCATCATCATCATCATCATCATCATCATCATCATCATCATCATCATCATCATCATCATCATCACCACCACCACCCCCACCACCACATCATCATCATCATCATCATCATCATCATCATCATCATCATCATCATCATCATCATCATCATCATCATCATCATCATCATCATCATCATCATCACATCATCATCATCATCATCATCATCATCATCATCATCAGCAGCATCAGCATCATCAGCATCATCAGCACCACCATCATCATCACCATCATCAGCATCGGCATAATCAGCATCATCAGCATCATCATCACCATCATCAGCACCACCACCACCACCATCATCATCATCATCATCACCATCATCATCATCATCATCATCATCAGCATCATCATCATCATCATCAGCATCATCATCATCATGATCATCATCATCATCATCATCATCATCATCAGCAGCATCATCATCATCGTCGTCGACATCATCACCATCATCATCAGCATCATAATCCTCAGCAGGAGCAGCATCGTCATCATCATCGATATCATCAGCATCAGCATCAACATCGTCAGCATCATCATCAACAGCAGCATCCACATCATCGTCATCATCATCATCAGCATCGCCATCATCAGCATCAGCGTCGGCATCATCAGCATCAGCAGCATCAGCATCATCAGCATCACCATCACCATCGTCGGTATCATCATCACCATCAGCATCGTCATTATCATCATCATCAGCAGCATCATCATCAGCATCATCACCATCATCATCAGCATCATCAGCATCATCATAAGCATCATCCTCATCAGCAGCATCAGCATCAGCATCAGCATTATCACCATCATCAGCATTAGCACCATCAGCATCATCGACAGCAGCAGCGGCATCACCAGCCCATCATCAGCATCATCACCATCAGCCGCGTCAGTATCATCATCACCAGCATCAGTATCATCAGCATCATCATCATTCTGAGCACCATCATCATCAACAGCATCAGCATCAGCAGCATCACCGTCAGCAGCAACACCACCATCAACATCATCAGCAGCATCGTCCTCATCAAACGTATCAGCATCATCATATATCATCCTACCCTCAACATCAGCAGCATTAACTTCACCAGCATCATCAGCAGTGGCATCATCATCATCATCACCACCGCCACCAACACCACCATCATCATCATCGTCATCAGCATCATCATCTTGATCAACATCATCAGCAACATCATCATCCTCAGCAGCCTCATCAGCATCCGCGGTATCAGCACCAGGCAACAGCCGTATAAACATCGTCAGCAACATCAGCATCATCGTCAGCATCGGCATGAGCATCAACATCATCATCGTCATCATCATCATCAGCGTCGTCGTCAGCATCGCCATGATGATGATCATCATCATCATCAGCATCATCATCATCATCAGTACCATCAGTGTCATCATCACGAGCATCACCATCATCAGCTACATCAGCATCAGCAGCATAATCAGCATGCGCATCGTCAGCATCAGCAGCATCAGCATCGCCATCATCATCAGCAGCATCATCAGTATCATCGGCATCTTCAGAATCGCCATCATCATCACCAATACTCATCATCAGCAGCATAATAATCACAATCATTACCACCATCACCATCATACATGACCAACACAATCGTCATAATCAGCAGCCGCAGCAGCATGAGCAGCAGCATCATCACCATCAGCATCATCATCGTATCATCATCAGCAGCAGCATCATCGTCAGCGCCAGTAACATCCTCAGCAGCAGCCCCATCATCTTCACGCCAGCAACGTCATCATCCTCATCATAAGCTTCATCGTCAGCAGCACCATCACAATCATCTTATCAATCTCCTCCTGCACCTCGTCCTGCTGATGCTGCAACTGCTGCTGCTCCGTCGTCCCCTCCTGGCGAGATAGCGAGCTGAAGGCGATAGGATCGTCGCGCGTCGTAGCATCCTCATCCCCCGCATCATCACCATCCTCATCATCACCATCAGCAGCATCGTCATCATCATCATAATCATTATCGTCATCATCATCACCATCATCATCAGCATCATCAGCCTCCCGCTCCATTATCAGCATCACCATCATCATCATCATCAGCATCATCTTCAGCATCGGCAGCATCAGCATCAATCTCATCAGCAGCATCGTCCTCATCACTTGCAGCATCAGCGTCAGTATCACCAGCATCATCATCAGCAGCATCATAGTCTGCACCATCATCATCATCAACATCAAATCCTCCATCATCATCAGCAGCATCAAAATCGTAATGGCCAACTGCACCGACAACCTCGTCCTAATCGTCATTTTCATTACCACAATCAACCGTCCGCATCCCCATAACCAACATCAACATCGTCAGCAGCAACAGCATCATACTCATAATGAGCATCAGCACCATCAGCATCAGCATCATCAGCATCAGCATCATCAGCATCTTCAGCATCTGCATCACTAGCATCATCATCGGCACATCATCAGCATCATCAGCGGCAGCATCCTCGTCAAAAGCAGCATAGTCCTTGTCATCACACTCAGCAGCAGCAGCCGCAGCATCGACATGATCACCAGCATCACCATCATCATCAACAGCTTCATCACCATCAGCGTCGTCGTAAGCATCGTCATGATCAGCATCATGACCATCATCATCAGCATTATCATCATCATCATCATCATCAGCATCATCAGCATCAACATCGTCATCATCATCATCATCAGCATCATCATCATCATCATCAGTATCAGCATCAGCATCGTCATCATCATCATCAGCATCATCATCAGCCTCCCCATCATCAGCATCAGCATCGTCGTCAACAGCATCATAACCATCGCCATCATCAGCATCAGAAGCAGCATCATCAGCATCGTCAGCCTCACCATCGTCATCATTAGCATCAGTAGCATCATCATCGTCATCGTCGCCATCATCATCAGTATCATCAGCATCATCAGCAGCAGCAGTATCAGCATCATCATCATCAGCATCAGCATCATCATCATCATCATCATCATCATCATCATCATCATCATCACCATCACCAGCATCATCATCCCAGTCCTCCTACTGTCATGCCCCTATGCATCCTCCTCCTCCTGCTCCACATCCACCTCCACCTCAAAATCAATGTTCCTCCACCTAAACCCCCTCCGCATCGAGCCCGTCCTCCACCCACACAGACGACTCTACCACCTTATCCCTCCCCTCGTCCTCCGCCTGTTTCTGCTCCTTCACCTCCTCCTTTGTCTCCTCGTCCGCCTTCTCCTCATCATCCTCCACCGTGTCCTCCAAACCCTCCTCGTCGTCATCGTCATCATCAGTATCACGATCAGTACCAGCATCATCACATCATCATCATAATCAGCATCAGCAGCATCATCAGCATCAGCATCAGCATCAGCATCAGCATCAGCATCAGCATCAGCATCAGCATCAGCATCAGCATCAGCAGCATCATCATCACCATCATCATCATCATCATCATCATCATCATCATCATCATCATCATCATCATCATCATCATCATCATCATCATCATCATCGTCAGCATCAGCAGCTGCAGCAGCAGCAGATCGTCATCCTCATGATCAGTGTCAGTATCATCGTCACCATCATCACCATCATCAGCATCATCATCAGCAGCAACAACATCACCACCATCATCATCGTTACCACAGCCACCGTCACCGCAATGCCCAGCATCAGGAACATTCACATCGACAACATCAGCATCAGTGTCATGATGATGATCGGCATCGTCATCGTCAGCCGCAGCAGCATCATCGTCCCCATCATCAGCAGCAGCAGCATCACCATCACTATCCTCATCGCCATCGCCATCACCACGACCAACCTCGTCCTCATCATCCTCATCACCATCATTGCAAGTCAGCCTCATTATCACCACCATCCTCATCATACTAATTAGTACAATCGTAATCATCATCGTCAGCAACAACGAGATCAGTGTCATCGTCGTCATCGCCAAACAACCAGATCATCAAAATCGCAACCGTTATCATCATCTTCACCATCATCACCATTTTAAGCACCATCAGTATCAGAACCACCACCACCATCCCCATCATCACCACCACCAACGCCACTGCAATGAGCAGAGTCGTGAGCATCAACAGCAAAATCAGCATCATCAGCGTCATCGTCACCAGCGTCATCAGCACCAGCATCGTCCTCATCAGCCTTATCAGCATCATCACCAGCATCAGCAGCGTCAGCATCATCACCCTCGTCATCACCA